CTTCCGTCGATTCTAACACGATTTACTGCTTAATAGGGTTTCCACTAATTTTTGTTTTTCTATATTGAAAAATATACCAATCCTCCGAGCAAAGTGATGATATAATTTTACAAGATGCCCAATGATCTTCTTACCCGGTAGAGTCGTCCCGCCGGTAAAACGGTAAAACTTCTAAGCACCCGACGCTACAAATTAGCACAGATAATCAATTAACATGGACTTCCGGCGTGCTTGAACAAACAAATGGCAGTCGTCGCGCGCGGCTCGTAAAATTTTTGGTAATTAAAGGCCGCCGTAGCCACGGGGCGGATCAGGTCGGTCCTAACGTCTCTTCGGGATCCTGACCGGTAGGAAAGACGACGTAAAAAGCCCGCGAAATTTCACATTATTTAAAAGCGCAAAACCTCCACGTCATCTGCATATAGATGGAATTTTTCTCTAGTACACACATATATACACGTACGTAAACGTGCCGTTTCATAGAATTCTCGCATCCTTCCACGAGATGATCCCGCAATTCTTATACACGTGTAAATGAATATCAAGACAATGGAAGTACAGTCTGAGAAAAAAGATAAATATCTGACAAGAGAAAATTAAAAAAAAAAAGTTAACACGCCGATGATTTTCGTGGTTCGGGCACTCGTGTGTCTCTTGATGATTTTTTCTATGGTAGGTGGTCGTCGTCCTAGACAATGGCGCCGGTATCCTAGAACTGTCCTTACCAGGACACATCTCCAACCAGGCTATCATTATCCGCATCTGCCGCAAGCCATCAGGCTGTAATTAGAGGCTAAACATCGTATTCCCCCATTTTTATTATATCTCAGTCTTTGTTTCCGTGCGGACGGAGGTCGTCGCGACGTCGTTATAACCGACGCTCCGTTCCGTCTTTTCGGAAGGATACCGAAACTTTGGTCTCGAAACGATTTTACTTTTTCGAGATAAATACTATCATTATTTTCTTGCTCCTTGCTCGCCTTTCACTTCTTTCGGAAACAGTCATTGTATCCTCATTAAGGATCATTTTCAGATCCTTCATTGACCAGTCTCCGTCCACGTTCCGTCGGACAACAATCTCGCGCGTACATTCCGTAAGAAAGAAATTTTAATCTTTCGACGAAAACGTCATATAGCTATGAAATAAAAATTACCCCCACCCGCTGACAAAGTCAAACATACGGTATCGTGCAAAAAAAATTTTCAAAATAAAAACTCTCGTAAAGACAGATGGGAGTAATTTGGCAAAGGATCTTGCCCGGAGCAACCACCCGTTATAATATCTTCGCAGAACAATTTTTAACACACCATACACGTCAAAGCCATAACAGATTTCATCTCGTGAGATGGTCCGATTAGATCAGGATCACCTTAAAAAAGATTTCCAATCGACCGTATATAAATTGCGCCTTTACTAAATCATTAATCTATCTCAGCTCCTGTATCGTTAGAATGTTTAAAATGTTAAAAAAAAATTTCATCTCAATTTCTCATCCGCCAAAATATTCAACGCCTCCCCCCCCCCCCCCCCCCCCCTAATCTATCTCAGCTCCTGTATCGTTAGAATGTTTAAAATGTTAAAAAAAAATTTCATCTCAATTTCTCATCCGCCAAAATATTCAACGCCTCCCCCCCCCCCCCCACTCGCCCCTTATAATCGTCAAAATGTACCAACGTTCACGAAAATCTCGCAGCATCCAAGTATCCAGGATCTTATCGCTTGGGTTTTCATGGCGAACGGGAGTCCGTTCGATAACTAGAGGATCTTATCTGCGAGCTCCCAGTTTCGACGATCCTCGCAGCCTCCTAAGTCGGTCCTGAGGGTAGGTATGAGATCGTGCTTTGAGAGAGCCGCATCGCGCCAGCCACGCCTTCCCCAGCGTTATTTACCTCCGTTCTTATTATCCATGTTTTTATTGGGACCAGGTCCTTTTTTCATCCATCCGCATAGATGGAGGCCATGATGATGATACGGTCAGTGATAGCACCCGAGGGTATACGATAACGGATCCAGAAGTAGTCACTGGGGATCCTTGATCTATCAGCGATCATCCAGTACGCAATAGATCATCTGGTCTGGCAGTGAGTGTCAATGAGTAATGAGAAAATCCTGAGCTGGTTTCAGCTCGGGGGTACCGGTGCAGAATGATCCTCCAGGCTTATTCACTCCTGGTGCAGCCTCTTCTGCCAGAGCGTCTATCCCTGGACCAGGTCCGCCCACGCCCCTGTTTTCACATACCAAATATTCGCGTGCTGAACCAAAGCGAAAAGTAAAGCCAAAACCTTGGCCAGGTACGTACCTACTTGGTACGTGTACCCGTACATTGTGTGGGGTGCGTGGAGTGTGTAGGGCCCAAAAGTATATAAATCTCATGGGACAGTGACGTCCGACGGTTGCCCCACGGCGTGCTTAGGGTTGCGAGCATCGACGCAGACTCCTGCAGTAGGCGGTTTCAGGGATGGTACGATCTCTTCTGGAGCAAGAAGTGTGTACTGCTCTGCCACGGCAGCTCGTTATTAAAATGGGCCCTAGGAACGATTTCTACTGGCATCGTTCTGAGAACCGAAGAGTCCCGTCGGCGTGGTGAGAATAATTAATGGCGCTTAAGAAAGACTTTTTTCTGTTACATTTAATCAGATGCTACCGTTTTGATTTAGTTTACAACGGACGACTTGGACTTTAAGTTGAGAATTAAAGAATTAGGAAAAATATAGATGGCGGTGTTTGTATACCTACCAGATTGGATGATGATGATGATGATTTTGAATATAGTCAACACTGCTACGTATAACGGTGCAAACGACACTTTCACATTTTGTTGATCATCAAATTCAAATTTGAAAAATGACCACTCAAAAATCTGTCATTATAGACGCATCGTAGTTAATGTTTACATCCGTAACAAGCAACCATAATGGCGGTCTCTTTGGTAAGTTGACAGTAAACTGTCATCAGCTGGTAAGCTGACACTGCACAGTCTCTAATAAAGTTTTATTCAAAAAACTTCAAAAATTGATTCGTTAACACACACCAGAATTTTTAAAAATTGCCAAAACAATGGCAAATCACATTGTTTCAAAAATATATTCATACACCTGCCTCACGAAGTGTCTAATAGAATGAATGATCTCGTTGCGTCTTCAAGGTCAACAATATGGCGTCGGATGGTCCATTTCTGTGCCAAAGATCATCCTCCGGAAGGTCACCGAATGATCCTACTGATCCGGCTGGAGTAATCCATCCCAGAAGACGAGTACGTCCAAGTGAATCTGATGACACAACATGGACGTCGTTGGACTATCTGCAGAGGACGAAGGAGTCCTTCGAGAGACAGCAGGAGCACTTGCGGGGCAGGTGTAACGCGTAGCGGCAGTAGGCACCAACTGATCTCACATAACAACGGCCGATAAAATTGTTGCGTTTCCACCAAAAATTATCCTCTTTTTTCAGTATAAAAAGTACAAAATTGTGGTAATTTAGCCCCCACCACAACGACCAGGGAGGCATCGAGCGTCCGAGGGCAGTGAGAGGGAACGCGACGGGGGCCTTTTGCTCGTGAATACGCCGCACTAACAACGCGGGACAATTATGGTTCAATATAGCTGACGTTAATAGCAATAGCTGAGGTGGCTTCACGAGTTCAGCGGAAGAAGCCACGAGCGGCGAGCCCTTTTTTTGAATTTCCCGCCATTGCCAAACACGCATATACTTAATCAGTATAACGGCGCAGCGATTAAACGTTATCCAGGCTCTTTCGTCAGTTACGCAATAGTTATCCACTTTGAGCTGGATCTTAAAAGTTCTTACTCTGACCTTTGACCCGTATCTAATATTCCGTAACACCAGCGAAAGACACTTTGACAAACTTATTTTACCCACCGTGGGACATTGACGTATTTTTCCCATGACGACGATCGAGGTTGTAAATCGTTGGGGCGGACTTGGAAATTTCGCGTGATCGTGCAGACGATTTGGGGCGACCAGAAATATCCTGGTTGGTGTGGCCTCGCGTCGCTGCTCTTGTGAACTCACCTGGTGCTTAAGCGTCCGAGAGGGGCATACTATGAAATTAGTATAATCACGATCAAAATTACTCGCGCGCCACGCTGCGCGGAACCACCAACCGCCTCTCAAATAGCGCGCCTTCTACTTGCCAATGAGAGTCCTGGAAATCGCGGCCATCTTGCTCAGTTCATGTTGCGCGGTGGCAGCTAGGAATTACCGCAAAAGTGGATAATCTGCGAGAGGTACACCGGCATACCGGTATAGTATGCACTTTCTTCGAACCTGAGACACCTACTATTTAATAGGATAGAATTTGTTAAACGTTCACGACTTTGGTGTGAGGTTTTTTTTTTTAAATATTCGTTTTAAATTCCTATACTCTGAAAATAATTTTTTCGTTGTTAAAACAAAATTGAGTATACTGCAAATGCAATGATATAAAATTAATTTTAAAAATATTGTAAATTTCAAAATGGTATCTCTGAACTTTCACACACTGCACAAGGTCGCCAGCTCCCGTAGCAGCAGAGCTACCATATAATTATACGAATAAACTGTTTTATACACTCCGACTCACGCAGCACGTTGTTAAGCCATGTCGTTGTGTGTATGCACCTTAATGTATCCGCCCCAGCCTGCAGGGGGTATATCCTAAAGTAACTCTACGTAGCGTTAACGTTAAATTAACGCGAAGTAGCCGCTGATTATGCTTTCTTAATTGTCGGATACCGCGGACCACTAAAATTAAAGGATGCAGCGTTGAGAAGCGTCATTACACTTTTCGCTCCTCGGGCGACTACGTTGCTTCTTGATTTCATATACGCAAAAGAAACGAGACATAAATATTAAAGAGCTTCTCGTCTTGGCACAACACAAAGTCACAATGATAAAACGCCCATAAAGCCTCTAAAAACACGACTGTCATTTCTATCTGAACATAACCTCGAAACGAAAATATCTCTCGCCCGTATAAAAAATACAAGCATCGACTAACCTCTTTCTTCGAAGTCACCAGACTTCGGGATCCTGCAAAAGGGGATATTCCATCGACACCTGGGGCACGAATACATTAGGTTTCTCCACGTAGCAGAGCAGGCCCGCCGATTTCGAGTATGCTGACGCCTTGGGCCACGGTTGCTGGAGTAGGTCTAGCCACTGCGTTGCCCTCTGTAATTATATTGTATACAACCCTCCCCAAGGCTCCTCCATCGGGTTCTTCCTTGGCTTCTTTCACGAGGAATATTTTCTTCTTGTTCTTTCCATTGCACTACACTGCGATGCACACGCGGTCCCGCCGTGGGCAACGGTTGCGTCGAACAGTCGTCTCGGTAAAATGCCTGCGGAGTATTCTTCGTTCCTATTCGTCCGTCGCCAGTTTTCTCCGCGGCTGACTGCTCGAGTCGAACTATAAACATATATATAGAAAATAATTCGTAACAAAGTCAAACTACTTTTTATACCCACCACAATATTCTAAACCGTACTACTTACGTGAATAAAATAATTTCGCTAGCGTCTTACTGGCTGTAATCTGAAACACATGGCAGCTTGATAAATAGCAGTAACCTAGTCTAAACACCGTAACAACATCATGGGACATCATCGGTGAAGGTAAAGCTGCTTGCGAAATCCAGTTATTCGTAAACCTTGTTGTACTGTATAATATATACATATATATATATGCAATGAGATCAACCTAACCTTACTTTCCGTATACAACGTATGCAGCTGTCTCCTCTTTACAGCTTTATGCATACACGCTCTCTGATTTCGAGATTTATGTTTTATCAGGTAACCGCGTACTATAAACTTTTGTACACAATCGTTTTACAGGCTAATGAACGTCGTTACACGTGTGACCCGTCCGATAATAGATAACACGAGCAGTTATAAAATATTGCCAGTTAACACGAATCTGACTTTACGATAATTTTCATTAATTCTCAGTCGGACGGATGAATTCGTCGAAGCCCATCTAAATGCGAATCGCCTGAAGGGTTGAGAAACATTATTTTTTTATAAGGTAATTATTTGTCGCCAGAGTCATATGCATACTACCACCACCTATATCGTATGCAGAACAGGATGTGTATTAGTTATGGTCACTCGTGCTATTTCTAGTGGGACTTTCATGATAATACAAGAAAATTGTTTTCCGCTGCGTATTACTGTTTTTCCCAGCATTCCGATACCGCGACACGATATAGGAAATCGTAACGAACGATCTACTAGGTAGCGATATTTTATTAGTTTGCCGTACTGTCTGGCGTATGCACTTTTTTTTTCTATTCCCTATCCGTAGTTACAATTGTAAAATGGAATTTCAGCACGCGTGCTTCGATATTTAAAAATAGATAGCTCGCAGCTCACGTAGTTCGGTATGAGCATTGAAAATAATTTTTTTTTTCTATAATATATACAGATATATTGAGGAACCTTAGTATCTGATATATTGTATGTACCATGAGATACTAGATAGTACTAGCGTGTGTACCTGCGAGTATAGGAGTATTTAAAGTCAGTCGTGATACGCCGATTTTACCGTTAGATTATTTATCGCCGTTATCAATAATTTTGTTAGTTTGATAAAATTAAAATATTTTTTTTTTTAATACTCTTAGGATCGATAGGTTATCAATTTTTTTTTACTAGGACGCCAATTTTGTTTTTCGTTCTAATTCGTTTTGTTGATTTATTACTCGATACCAGTATACAGTATGGTTTAAGGGATTTTCTTGATTGACGTTATCTATCCATTAGGTTCAATGGGGGTGTGAGGTAATTCGCTTTATCCGTTACACCTCGCAGATCACCCTGGGCATTGATTTCACATTAGTACGTAGAAAACTGACTGTTTGACTTCCTTTTTGATCGCGTGGCTCTTACTGACTACTCAACTTCTGACTCGGTTCAAGACTGCCGTGTATGTACGCTAGGGAAGTTAACGTGCTGGAGGAGGGTTTAGCACGCAAAGGTATGAGGACCGACAACCGCAATATTAGATTAATGGCGGCCGTACTGTACATACTTTAGAGTATCTCGTGGAATCCAGAGTAATTAACTCGACGAGTGTTAGGCTCGTGGAAATTGGTGTATTGGTATTTGGTAAATTAATTAGTCGCTTTATTGTTGCTGAGAGATATTTTTTTTTAAATTGGTATAACAGAATGGGGATTTTGCGGTTAGCAAATATTGATGATTGGTTGCTATGTTTATTGTTTAATACGAGTATTAAAGGTAATGTATTTAAACTGTGTTGTGTGGTTTAATATAATTTTGTAATGTATTCCATTTTACGAACAATCGCGAAAATATTCATTAAAATATCTGAATATCTTATGTAGCCATCGTCGTGTCTTAAGAAAACTATACAGGATGGCCCCTGCCGTCGGCTAACCGGTATACTGAAATTCAATCTCAAACCGGAGATCCTTGATCTAAAGGGGACCCCAACCTATTTTACTTCGGAAAGGATCTTGCTCGCCATGCGAAATTAGGGCCTCGTACTTCATGAAGATCATGCGAGTTCCTCGCGGAGGGAGTTGGGGCTGTATGTAAAAAGCTCTGGAGAGTTATGGCCAGTGGGACTCGGGCAACGTCTTTGCTTGAACAAGCGGCAGGGTATAATATCCTTAGGGCAACTTACCAGAGTGGTGGGATCCGTTCGATCGTGATAAGATGCAGCGGCGTCGGTTGTCGGTTGACAAAGGGTCGAAGAAACGCCCCTTTAGATCGGACGCGAAACCGCTTGCGAGGGCGTCCATATTAAAATCTACCCAGACTACACGAGCCTTGTTTATTGCCCGGGTATACGCTTACCAGAAAACGGCTTACTTCTGTATGAGGAATTTACAATACACTTTTATTTTGCAATACTTTTATGCTTGTGGATTGATAGATACGATTACATCTAGATCGGAAGCTTTCTACGAATTCTGGTTGAAATTTTAAACGTGGACAATGATGTGTCGTTGAGTATCTTATTAGAGATAATGCTCGCGTTACTTTATATGGACGAAATATATTTAGTTATAAAATTGAAGGCTCTGTAAAGGAGTGAACAATACTTTCCCGTTTTCTAATAGACTCGTGGACGAATGAAGGTTTCATCTTTGCCGGTGTATGAGTCGAATGTCGTGACTGGTGTCTCCATCTGTAACCGTTGTGGAAGAACTGTGGACTAGTTTAAAGTGAAATACGTTACGACAGGAAGAAAATTGATCGACGCATATTTATTTGTCAATTTTTTCAAGTAAATTTACGCGAAATGCAGTAAAATGTTTCCTCTAAGTTCACAAAAGAAGTATTGGATGTTTAGTGATGAAAATGATCTTACGGCACTGCGTGAGAAGACCAATGCAGAATTTATTGAGAAGCACGGTGCTGACATGACGGTATGCGAATTGTGTTTCAATATGGAATAATTCTTGTTTATCTTTACATCAAATGTAATATTCATATTTATTCGTTATATGCACTGTATATTTATTTAATTATATTTGTAGTTGACTAATTTTTATTACTTTCGGTTAGTTTTGAGGTTATATTTGCGTTTGATCTTCTATCGGTATAGACACGTTTTTACAGGATCCTACTCTGTTGGTATGGGAAACACGTCTTCTAATAATCGCACTACTCAACTTGTCGTTACTTAATTATTTAGCATTGCAGTAGCCTATTACACTAGCAGGTTTTGAAACCGGTTTTGAAATAATCATTGGCATGCTTATCGAGCAGGCATCAAACTGGATATTTATTACGCAATGTACATGTTTCATGTAAAGCCGGAGCAGAGGGAAGAGTATTTCCTCTCAGATGCGGAAGAGCGGACACTTCTTCGTTTCTATGAGTTGCAATTGAGAGATTTTTGTCGGCGTTTTACACCACCTATGCCCAGAGCCACTGTAGCAACTGCGCTACATTACTTTAAGCGGTTCTACCTAAGGAACAGCGTCATGGACTATCATCCCAAGGAGATTTTAGTCACTTGTGTTTATTTGGCATGCAAGGTGGTTTTCAATATTCCATAGAACTTCCTTGAGATTTGTGATAAATGTTGTACTTAAAGCTTATCTATATTTTAGGTGGAAGAATTTAATGTGTCTATATCTCAGTTCGTAGCTAATATCAAAGGTGACAGAGAAAAGGCATCAGATATTATACTGAATAATGAATTGCTATTAATGCAACAGTTGAATTATAATCTTACTGTACACAATCCATTCAGGCCAGTAGAAGGGCTTATGATTGATATCAAGGTATACCTTAAGCGTTTATCTGATTTAGATGTAGGTAAAGAATTTATCAAAAGTTATTTAATTGTAGACACGCTATACATCCTTGGAAAATCCAGAAAAATTGAGGCCACATATCGATGAGTTTCTAGAGAGGGTTTTTCTGACTGACAGTGTTTTGCTTTATCCTCCAAGTCAAGTTGCACTTGCTGCAACTTTGCATGCAGCTTCCAGAGCAGCTGCCAACTTGGATAATTATGTGACTGATACTCTGTTCTCTAGAGATCACTTGGCAGGAATAATAGAAGCTGTCAGAAGTAAGTGGAGCATCAACAAAGTAAATCAGAGCAGATATATGTACTAGCTGTAAACACCTTTCAGAAATACGTTCCATGGCCAAAGGTGTGGAGCCTCCATCTCGGGAAGTTGTACGAGCACTAGAAAAGAAGCTGGATAAGTGTAGAAATCAGGAAAACAATCCTGACAGTGAAATGTGAGTTCTACTCCATACATGATTGAAGTTTGTCTTCATGAATAGTGGAATAGCTAGCTTGAGGTAAACTTGTTTACAGCTACAAACAAAGAATGCAGGAAATGCTGGACGAGGAGGATCTGCGGGATAATGAAAAATATGCAAAAATTATTCAAGATCAGGCAGCTCACGATGAAAAAATCCTAGGTGTCAGTAAGGTTTTATCTCCGGCTACTAGGTAATAATTTCGTATAAAATACATTATCATATTTCGTTAAGAAATCACATTGTTATTATACTTCTTATTATCGTTAATAATTACAGTAAAAAATAATATTAAGTCACATAAATATTTTCCTATACTTAGTTTCAGTATAGACAACTTGTAGCGTTAATATGACTCATTCAAAAATTGAGGCTCGTGCCTCCACTTAGTTACTATTATCATTATTTATTCTTCACGTTACGTCGTATCCTCTTCATAAATGCAATTATGTATTTTTACATTATTTTTTAAACGAAGTCGTCATTGTTATTTAATATAGCTTTGCAGCAAGGCAACTTTCTTCTATGTCTCTCCCTCATTATTATTATCCTTCAAGAATCTTGACGGTTATGCTGATGCCTGAAGTCCAATCTTTGCGTAAGGTGATGGGTGGTATGATTCGTGGGTAAATTTTGAAAAACGGAAGTTTGTGGTACATTTGCAATATTGCTAGGTAACGGCTGTATTATTGGTAATGCTGGTGGTAAAGGCATGGGTGCCAAATGCGGAGGCAATAACGATGACCCCTGTTGGGATTGACCTGGATAATTAAAAAACCTGCAAAAATAAAAATATTCTCATTCCTCGTAAAATTATAATATTTTCAATGTACTCACCATAACCGATCCCCAACAAAGATCGGTCGGGGTGCAGGAATTCCTAAGCTTGAATAATATTGTTGTGCAAGTAATTCCACGTCGTTCGTATATTTCCTTTTCCATTTCGTTCGTCTGTTTTGAAACCAAATTTTAATCTGTGACAAAAAAATTATTGCCGTCAAAAAAAACACCCTGTACATCAATACTCTTCATAATCTAAATAATCATATTTCCCTATATGCATATTTTATATTAATAACCTTATTTCCACTTTCAATTTTGACAAAAATTATGCCCCGGGTGAGGATCGAACTCACGACCTTAAGATTATGAGACTTACGCGCTGCCTACTGCGCTACCGAGGCCTGTGGGCGATTTTCAACGTTTCAGTAAAACATGGAAAATGTACCTGAACTAAATTACCTTATTCACACATATGCAGGCCAAAGACCACCTTTAGTTTCCTGGCCAACTTAATTTTAATGGTGAAGAGCTATCTTAAGTTAATGCAAGTGCATTGAATCAAACCATATTTCCAGTTTCCGTAGAACCCCGTATACAAGAAAAAGCACTTCAAAAGCGGAAATCCTAACCTTAAAAAATGCCATTCCATCGATTTACCTATCCCATTTCCAAGAGGGTAAGGATCTTATTCAGAAAGTACATGGTCTGTTAGGGTAGAAATATCCTATGGCAATATATCCTAATTAAAAAATCGACGCCTCTCCGCTCGGTCGACGTCGAGCGTCGGGGACAAAGTCCGACGTCCGTATGCGTCGGGACCCTTTCGTGAAGCCGTCGAAACGACGGAACGTCGAGTAACGGTAACCGAGGATGCGGGAGCAGCGGCTCGTTAACTCTGAGAAATATTGTGACAGTTATGTCTGCAGCCCGACATGTCTCCTTCTCTCTGATCTGTCGCTTTGCGTCCTGTAAGACTGAAAGACTTGGATACTGAGAGTCTCAGTGACTGTGAGACCGTGTGACTACGAGTACCCAGAGTACGTCAGACGTTCATCCACAAAGTCGTCCAACCCCATGCGATTACCCAGATAATTATCTCAAGACGGTTTTGACACGAGAAACGGTGCATACGTATTTCTGGGCAATTATCAGAATAAATGCACACTTACAAAATTTTACTGGCGTCTCGCGCACTTTTCGACTAAGCGCATGGACGTGGTGATTTTTTTGTTAAAAAATTTTTTTGTTTTTCTCTACACTTTTTTTTTTCACTCCACAACAGTATTTTACACACTTCCTTGACGTTTACTCCTGCTTTCGGGATACGCGATACTTTGACTGTAACTTAAATTGAGGGTAACGCTTCTTTTCCGGATGTGACGAGTAGTGTTTCCATGACGGGAAATTCTGACGTTCGTCCTTATATCTTTTTTTTAGGGCTGTGGGTACACTGTACAGGTTTTTCGACGGGTTTTGAATTTCGAGTAACCGGTTTATCTTTCTTGCTGTTGAATTTCACTGTTCAGGGCATTCCTTTCAATGATACCTTTGCTACTTTTCTGAGTTATATCTTTAATGGGGTTTGGCTCTGTAACTATGGGGTGGGTAGGTGCTAATTGGTCTTAAGGGTACGTGAAGCCCCTTGGCGCCGTACTGTGGCGCCTGCACATGTGGTACAACCACGTTCCTGCGAGCCATAATTCAAAGACAGTTGACCCCTGGGTTCATAAGGCACCCTTCGATACAAGGGACTTAAACTATTTCAGGTGTCGAAGTTGGCGCCCTAAGGAAGTGCGTGACGTATATTGCAATATATCGGTAGAAAAATGATTTCCTTTTACCAAAACAAGAAAAAAAAATGTTGCAGTAAAAAAAATTCTTGTTAGCGACTACTGATTATTTAAGAAATACAAATTTCATTGATTTCTCAAATATTAAAGTCATCTCTTATTTTATTAGTATCTCCTGATTCGCTATCCTTAGTCAATTTTCAAAATAATTTCTCTCTAGATTTTGTACAACAAATTCATTTTAATTGATAATTAACTCAATCATTATATAGTATCTCCGTACAGTGGCGCCCGGTTTCCGAATTCCTAACAGTCCCGGTATTATCGGTATGTCAAAATGATCAGGGGAAACCAAAATAGGGGATGGCGACAGACATATGTAGGCTAGACGTCTTCCTCCGGCGCAGACGCCATCCCGAGGTCATCAGGATGATCTCGTGTATTATCGGACTTCAAAGATTTGCATAAATTTTGATAAAAATTTGAAAAAAAAATTTTTCTCAAAATCTTACCTGCGTTTCCGTAAGCTTCAACGTTTTACTGAGCTGCAGCCTCTTCGCCACGCTCAAATATTTATTCCGCTCGAATTCCGCTTCCAGGGATTTTATCTGCGTAGCCGTGAAGGCCGTTCGCGGCCTTTTCTTTCTCTCGTCGTCGCTGGACCCACTCGCGCTACGGCCCTGCGTGTCCTGAGCCTTGTTATCAATTTCCAATGTCGAGTTAGTCCCACTGCTGCTGGTACAGGCCTCTGAAACGGGTGATTTTTTGTTTTGAAAAATTTTCAAAAAATTAATACAAGACCACGAGTGATTTTCACGACGGCCGCTGTGCTCAATTACGCTTAAGAATTCTCATCGTCATTAATCTCTCCTTTTCTTTGCCTATGGGTAGCCTTACACACATATTATTTATATCAAAGACACAAGACTCTGCTACATGACACTTGGTGTCTGCTACGAGAAATGTCTCTTGGGTTTTCTTTTTTTTTTTTCTTCATGCTTAAACTTACTTTTAAACTCGAACACGAGTCTTTGCCATTATCTTATAATCATCTGATAATTTATCCAAGTCCAAATGTATCTTGTTACAGTTATACCCAAGGTATATCTATATTCGTAACGTGACAGAGAATTATGAAGATGGGTATGCAATTGTCACGTGGATAATGTAAGATCGATTTTATTTATTTATAATTGATTTTTTTATCGATTTTATCGAAATTTATAAACTTACTACTAATTTTATTTTATAGATGCGGATAGAGTGTCGCTCGTAAATAAGGATGCAGTTATTTTCGTTGCCGATCCCATTGAGAGCCGAAAACTTCTTGTCGCCTCCATGGAAACGGTTCAGGTGGCACGTCGCTGCGCCACGCGGCAATAAATATCCCAAGAAACTATTCGTGGCTGGTTCCCGCGGCCCACGAAGAAGCGTTTACCGGCTACTAATTGTCAGATGGCGACGTAATTGTCGCGTTTCTCGCGTTTTTGTACGCGCGTCCCTGCGGGACGCTAGGCGTCGCCGACGTCCCAGCCGTCGCCGATACCACCGAAAGTGTATGGGACTCGCGGAGAAAGAGGATCCGCTTGGAGCTTGGCTAAAACCGTACCCCAATAAGTTAGTCGGCTGCATGTAGAAACTAAGATTGGCGAGAATGAGTCGCAGCAATTCGCAATGGCGAATCTGTGGTTAATAGTGCAATGGCGGGTTTACAAAGGCGCACCAACTGTTGTACGCATAATAATTTTCATTCCTGTAACTCACAAGGCGTACACCTGTAGACTGTTCGAAGAATTATCGAAAACGAACTTTCATTGCGTACACAAGAAAAATAGCTTTTCAGAATGTAATTCTTAAAATGTATTTATAGACAATTTTTGTAATCGATGGGTACTTTTGGAAAGTACGTAAATTCGCTTTCTGTACGAATAATTAAAAATGTACGCTGAAACCGGAAATGCGTGGAATAGGAAGACAAGAAGAAAAAGCATTGAACCAACGTCTCGTCCGGCTCATTTGTCGTCGCAGTGGAAACGCAGGAGTCGCATTGATGAACGAGGTCTGCTAGCAGAATGAGAGGAAGAGAGAGAGACGGAGAGCAAAGAAGAAGGGTTGTTAGAGTCGAGGACGAGAGGAGGCGCAAAAAGATCTTCAGAGAGACTCACTCTGGTACAGCATCAGCATCAGTGGAGAATCTCGATCCTCGTGGAAGGGTGAGCGAAAAGAAAGAAGAGCGACAACGCATCAGGAATAGAACACCACGCCTTCTAGTTTACCTAATTGCTGCGAGCTACGCTGAACTTGTCTCCTAATTATTCGGTGATGAATGAGCCACGCGGGCTATAGCGGTCCAGAGCTCGGCGTGCGTGTGACACAGACTTTGAAATCTGATAATAGATACTAATTTTTGGGAGATTTTGCCATTTACTCGCGGGATAAGGAAATGAAAAATTACTCTCCGTAATCGGGCGAAGGAGAGGGAAGATCTTTGGTGGTTGATTATATTGGGGTTGGACGTCTCATAACGGCGGGATACTGTTTTACCTAATTTCATGGAAAATTATACATCCGGACGGTTTTGTCTTTTGGATCGGTTTTACTTTGGCAGTTACTTTGGCTTTTAGTATGAGTCGAATAGCTTCCCTTTTGGGTTTCAAGTTCCACGGATTTATGCGACGTCTACCACCTTTTTTTTATGGACCTCACATGCCTATGTTGTATCCCATGTGTCTGATCCTGTCGGCTTGGGACTTTATTCGTGTACAAACAAGGATTGGCTTTCCTTAGATCTCAAATTTATAGCATAGAACATTAAGAGTGCGTAAATCAAGCGGATTGAGGAATTGGGGGATTTGTCAGTTCACTTTCAAACATGGGTTCTTAAAATGGTATTTAATTGTCCTTGGTCGAATTTCGGCTGATTGCTATTTGGATATTGAATAGTAGATAGGAATGGATCTTTTTTTAATTGTTATCTTGATATCTCCTTTGTATTGATTATTGTGTCTTCTTGGGGTGAGAGTTGGAGGGACATCAAGTCTGCTACTTGAACTCGTTGGTGCGCAGGAAACCTGCTGGTGCGTTTCCATGGCAGAATTAGCAGGAGACAGATAAATAGTGGATGAGGAACAGAAACATTGAGTGGGCGTGGATCGTTGCAGGAAGTAATGGATCATACTCACTGGCGGACCCGCTACGCGAAGTACTGATTTTGCGTGGAATAGGGTTGGTGATTTTCATGATACCCTTGTGGATTATAAGAATTATATACATAGGTGTGATTTTTGTTTCTGACAATTTTTGAAATCTCTGACGAATCCTTATATGAATTTATATTGTTCATATATTTATAGTGACTTGAGTTACTGATTTCATCTGAGAAGCGTTAACGATTTTCATGATAACCTCATTGATTATAGGAAATATATACATAGGTATGATTTTGTTTCTGAAAATTTTTTAACTCCCTGATGGATCGTTATATGAATTCATATTATTTATGTTTTTATAGGAACTTGAAGCACTGATTTCATCTGAGGTGGGTTTATGATTTTCATGATAATCTTGTTCATTATAAAAAATATGTACATAGGTGTAATTTCGCTTCTGGCAATTTTTAATCTTTTTGCTGGACTCTAATATGAAGTTATCATAATTTCATTTTAAAAAAAGTTTGATGATTTTCATGATACACTATTATAACGGATGGTGACGGATTGGCACGATTGGGATTTTATTTTGAAAAATAGGGAAAAAGGGAATTTTATATGATACTAGTTGAATTTTTTTAATTATTAATTATAATACTCACCGTAACTGATTTCCGGTTCTGGTGACGTGGAACACACAATGTCGGATTCCTCCAGCTCTGTTTCCTCATTAATGGAAATTGAGGAGTCGGGAACAACCATCAGTCTCGTTTCACCCTCGCACGCTATTATATAGATTTTTTTAAGAATTATGGAAATTAAATTTAGATTAATCCGACCTTGTATACCGTTGCGTAGATTTTGTGTGGATTACGTTTATACATTCGTGAAATAAAAACGACACCGTTACTTACTTTCTGTACAAGAATAAGACTTGTGCGACGGGCAGACGCATTGCTGTGGTATCAATTTTTCATCCCTTAAGAATTTTTTATTTGGTGCCAAAAGTCTCTCTATACTGAATGCCGATACCTTTGGACTCTCTACCGGTTGCACCGATACCTTCGATGACTCTATCAAAGACTTTGACTTTTCTTCCGTCATTGTTAAGCGCACCTCACAATCACCACGCGGAAATTGGATTATCTTAATTTTTTGAAAAAAAATTTATCCACATCATTTAATCTCTCGGATTATAATCTCATGATCGAGATGAAGAATTTTCATTTTCAATTTTTTGTTTTTCACTGGTCCTACGAAATTTTGATATTTTTCTTTAAAAAAACTTTCTAGTCAAACTTTTCAAGTTTCATACTTTCTAATTAAAGTTTGGACTATTTTGCACCTCCAGCAGCTCATAGAACTGAGTTTCTGTCAACCGCGATTGACTCTGAAACCATACTGATCCATTAGCACCCCTTGTTCACGGGATTAGTTAGAGTAGACACTGTCAGAGAGCGGTGTCCAACATTTTTTTTGGCAGCGAACTCAAATTCTTTGGCATTTGGGGCGGTTCGAAAAAGCCACGTGGATATAACGTCACGACAGCACGAGCCAATCGTAAGGTAGTGTGGGCGTAGCTTGGCAAGCACGTGCGTTTTCAGAAAGAGCTTTTAATGATCTCGTAGCATGACACCCAGGACTGCTAAACGGTGGTAACGAGGGTCCCATAAATTTATGTCTCCGGTATAGAACATCAATTAATAAGTGTTACGTCTCTCATAGTCCAAAATCAGACCTCGTCCCGTTGAAATTTATTACAAATAAAATTTTAAAAAACTTTAATGTGATATATGGATATATCATGATATCATAAAATAAATAAATTATTAGAGAGCAAAGCTGTGCTTTTTCATGAGAAAAAGATCACATATTGGTACGATGACAGATTTTCAATTAGCCAATAAATTTTTGGCATGGATATCTATAATAATTTTTTTGTCCTGATAACCTCCCTCTCCTCACGCCGGGGCCGTTACCATTATTTAAATTTCACAACAGTTCGAATAATTGGGTCAATAATAATGGCTGAACGCTTGGTTGTTAGAGTATCTATTTTTTGTGCGATAAATTGGAAGGCTCAGGGTTCAAAATGGCTATTGGTCCCTTTTTTGGTGGTTCTGCAATTCGTCATGGTTCCTTTGACTGAAATGTGACACTGAAAACAGTGGAGAAACGTTTAATAATTTCACGCGTAATTGACGTTTGAATTTAAGCGCGTTTATCATTACTGGCTAATTAACGTGTTACACGTGCTATAGTCACGGACTGTATGTTTTTTGTCTGAACATACTTTTGGCTTCGTATTTCTGCAGTGGCTAAGGTTTGTTGCCATTTCTTGTTGGCGCCACAGCTGTGTTTTGTAGAATAAGAAAATAAGTCGAAATTTTAATAGTCGTATTTGTGGGTTCTTAAAGGATATTGGTTGGCCGTATCTACTGAGTAGGCGGACGTGTTGTAGGAATTTGGGAAGAAGTGATCAAGACAGTAATGAAAAATTGTCCAATGAAAATTCAAGTTTATTTTTAACCACAGGAACAAAATACATATTTATTTTTATTTTAGTTCTGTCCGATCCGTTAAAAGCTACCCAATGCCAGTCGCGGTAGGTCATCTACACTATGTGTATTCTAGTTGAAATTATTAATTAAATCTAATCAATCTTGGTCCGTAATTCGTGGAGGAAATATTAATACATTGTTTAAATAATTGCGTGATCTATCTAATTGTGTAAACAAAATAATAGCTTCATTTACTGTTTACGACGATTGTTAAGACTCTCACGCCGTTGCGTGATTTTTGCGTTTATACTGTAATATTTTGCGAAAATGTTTATCGATATAGAACATCGTGAATTAAATCAAAATCGTGTAACTGTAGTGTTTATTTATGTGGATTAGAATATTTTATCGGATAAGTGATAGTGGTAAATGTATATTTGATCAATTTTGAGGTTCGTAAAGGTCATACAGAATTTTTTAATTATCATGGAAATGTTTCCAATGATCCCTTTTCTTCACGCCCAAGATCAAATTCTTTTTAACAAAATTTGCACAGTCCAGTGCCAGGCATCGTCCGAGATGAATTATATTGAGCGTAAGACATTTTCAATTTTTAGACGCTTTTTGATAAGCAGGATTTTTTTGAATCTCTGGACAATGTTTCCGTTTTAATTTTTCACTTTTTAATGCTTCACATCTGCTGCGTGGAATTCCCATTCCAGGTGTTGTTTTCGTCGTTGTCATCACCTCCAGAATGTAGTCTGTGAATGTTACCCTGGGCGCGAATAGTCGTAGTACCTTGGCTGTCTATATTCCTCCTGGTAAGCCTAAATTCAAATTTAAGGTTAATGTCCAGTATTATGTATAAATTGTTGTTTAGCACAATTTACCCAGACGATTGAGGTTGAGTGGTAGGTGATCTGTCAATATTGGTAGTAGTTCCACTGGTGCTAGGAGTATTATTTTGTCTCTCAGGGTTTCTACGAGGTCTTCCTGAGAAGTAACCTAGTACGTAATTATATATGCTAATGATGGGCGCAAAGATGCCCCACATGAAGCGGGAAAAGAAGCCGACATCTTGGGTGGTTGTTATAGCGGATGTGATGTTTGCCTAGAAAAATGAATAAATTGTTAATGATTACTGAGCGCACGGTGGTTTCATTTACTTACGTTTCTCAAGGGTAGAATTAAAATGACGGCAGTGGGGACCAATTCCAGTTCCAAGAGAGTTTTATTGTCATCCTGGTTTATGAGGTCTCTCCTGGGAAATGTTGTAGACATTGCAAAATGTGTGAATGGCAGTTCTATGTTTTGCACAACGTAAGTTCTTAATGCTCCCAAAGTACTAGATGCCTCAAACTGGCCCATATGTGGTTTCCCTGTAGGCAACCTGAACTGGATCCTCGCTATGCTAGCATCACTGGGTATTACTGTACGTGGCTTGGGTTGCTCCTGGTTTTGTTGTTGCTGTGCAACTTGTTGCTATAATATGTGAATATTTGTAGCATTAATTGTTGCTAGACTGTTTTATTGGAACAAATAGGCTTAATGAGTTTGTACCTGAAGTGCCAATTCTTTGTGCTTGCGTTCCAATTTATCCTGAGCGATTTGCTGCTTCACTTTCTCTCTCGCAGCTGTCTCTGCAGCTTTCTCTCGCATCCTCTCTTCATGCGCTTGCTTGATTTCCAAATCTTGTTGCTTTTGACGCATCTTTTGAACGTCACGGCCCATTCTACGACGTTCCAGCTCCCGTTCGCGTTCCTTGCGCTTTTCTTCCTCTTCACGTTGCTTCTTTTGCAGTTCAATTAACTGTCGTGCCCTTTCCACCCTTTCCTGAACACAATTAATTGTTTTTGTAATTTCAATAATTCCAAAATACATTAAATAATATATTTAAACATAGAATTTAGAAATAAATCATTTTTATACTTCTGCTGACAGTGCTGCATCTTTTATTGCAGTTTCAGAAGTGCTCGTTGTAGGTTCCTGAACTTTTTCTGTGCTGCCCGTTGTCTCTGGTGGTATACTTTCATTGGGGGTTGGACTATTGCTATTACTTTCAGTCTTAGATTCGGGGTTAACTTGTTCTTGCAAAGTCTCTGTTTCAGAGCTTGAAGATGCATTAGTATCTGGAGTCTTAGTAGCATTTGTAGCACTTGCAATTTTCTGTTCAACCTGTATTAAGTTAGTCGACGAATTCTTAGTTCCTTTACCTACTTTTGCCAGTACTCCATCAATTTTTATCAACAATTCAGAGGCTGTTGTGTTACCAGCAACAATTTCTAATGGACTGCCATTTTCTCCAATAAAAAACAAAGATGGTACTGGTACCAATTGATCTGATCATAGGTGTTAAGGAATGTAGTGTATTTTGAAAACATCTTTATGTATATAGAACTCAAAATCATTTCCAAGGCTTGAGTTCGGAAAAGGATACAAATTTGTGCAAAGAACCTATAGGTGTCGGAGCCACTTTCGAGTCTTATAGCAACAAAATCATCCTGTTGTAAACGTGATGATACCTCATCAGCACTGATAGCATTAGCGACTTGAACGGAGGTATCATCCTTTCCTATGGAGACACATTGTAAGTTCAAAATATAATAATACAATCATAACCAAACCGAGGATGTAATGTCATATATTCATAATGTACAACATAGAAATAAAAATATGCATGAATATACTCAATAGAAACGAACAGGTCATAATATAAGAACAAATTCGTGACACATAAGGTGAGAGAATGAATAAGCAGAAAACGGGGACAAGGTTAACAGTGACTTGAAACTCATAATGATAATTCTACTTCAATGTTTAAATATTTCATTAAAGTAAAATTGCTGGGATAGATGTCAAGATGATTGGTAGAAAGAAACGTCATAACAGTAGACATGAAAGAATCAAGGAAACTGTGTGCGAGTGATGAATCGATGCTGACATAACCTTCAAGAGCGAGTACACACCCTCGACGAATACGACGAAAATTGCTTTCCTGAACTTCGAGGTTGCTACAGCCTCGTTGATACTTCCTTCGAACCACTTCATTTTCCGAAAGAAGATTCGAACTGTGGATATTTGTCGCTCTGGAGTATATTCGGCCGCGGTGACGTAATATAAAATAATTTGTGATCACTGGAAATTTAATGCTTATGGTTGACGTTTCTCAAGTTCCTACCAAGCATCAGCATCGGGCGATTCTAACCTGAGACCAGCAGCGCCATCTTCGAGGCAAATTCATACGCGCGATATACACAGGTAAATAGTTCGTCGTTTAATCAGCGTTTCTCGCGTCTCTCGCGAATGAGAAAATTCAATTTCATTTTTAAATTGTCTTTCCTCTTTGATAATCTTTGATAGTGGTTGACATTTTTTGCAATATTATTATACGTAATTGGTATCATGTATGTGTAAGTGGTTAAACTGGGGAACATACATTTTTTGGATATTGGTGGAAGAATAAATTGGAGGCACTGTTGCTTTACATCAGTAGGTTATATTTTTTGGTCCTCTAAACATTTATAATATACACAACATGTAGTATAATATATATATATATATATATATATATATTTAGCATCATGTAATATTTTCACAATGTTATTCATAGTATATATTTTTTTCCTTATTATTATTGGCATAATCATACTGCCCACGATACTTTATTACCAACAACCCCAATTAGCGAATCAACAATGTGCGGTCGCAAGCCTACAAAACAATTCCCATACAAAAATACAAATTCGCTCGATATTTCTCCTTTATCTTTCTTCCTCCTTTTCTCTTGCCAAAAACTTGTACCTTTCCCAAAAAGCATTCGCCAGGACCACGGAAAATGTTACTTTTTTTTTTTTTTAGAGTTTACTGATCCCGCACGACCTTCATTTCACTTATGAAACCGTATTTAATATATTAATAGGTTTCGACAGGACAATCGACATAACTAAGATTTTTTTTTTCAAAAAAGACTTTTTTGTATAAATGGAATTTCCCGAATGATAATACGAGACGAAAGTCAATGAAATAAAACTTTCAGGGCTTATATTGCAAATTGACATTTATGAAATTCAGTATTACGGTACACCGGATTTACCGATACAATTTTGTTTTCTTTTTTTTCTCGTCTTACGCAGAAAATATTTATTGAGATGTGAGTTTTCAAAAAAAAAAGTCCTCGTCGATTGAATATTGAGTTTCTTATATCACGTCGAACTGTTGACGCGAAAAAAATGGATGGATACAAAATCAAAATTATCGAGTGCCCAAAAAAATCGAGAAAAAAGTAAAAATTTCAAGGACCTCGTTGATTTTTGCTCACAAAACGCGAGCTTGAAAAATTTTCAGAAATTACTCGCTCTTGGCAGTTCTATCTATCTATACATATATATTTATTTTCAAAATTCTTTCGAGTCGCAACTTTACATCACGTTAATCAATATTTCCCTGTTTCTGTAACAAAATCGAACAATAATTCCTTTTTTCTCCCAAATAATTTGACACTGTAATTTTGAGAAAAATTCGAAGTCGTTTCATCCAACATTTCGATGATTTGATATTCAAAGTGAAAACCTGCCTACTCACATGCATTCGGTAAATGGCTTAATGTGCGCTTAGACGTGACACAACTACGACATCAAAAATGCAACGTGATTTTCCCGTCGGAATTGCAAAGAAAGATTCATAAAAAGTGCACGAATAATTGACAATTTAAAAAAAATGAATTCTTTGCACGAAAATTACGGCTGCCGCTCGTCATAACTCGTGTATCATAATCATAGGATATAATTACGTTTGTTAAGGGTATATCGTTGTGTACGTAAAAAAAAAATACAAAACTCCGAAAATTTGTTGAAATTTTTTTTTTTACAAAACTCAATATTTTGTGAAAATAGCGAATTTAGAAAAATCAGTCATTTCTGACTTGTCCCTTATCAGCTTTTCATTCTTCACTAATACTTTGTGCTTAAGCATCGTTCCCTTGCAAGTGACGAGAAAATCTTTGTATCTTGTATAACGCTTAAGAGTTAAGGTACCTTAAAATTAGGTTAAGATTTATACCATACTCTCTAATTACGCCATTATTATTAATTAGTATCGTATTCTTTCATAGTAGGGGTGGAACGTGTCGTCTCGATTAAATAAATTTTACATACATAATATCTTTCCCTTCAACTTCTTCGCTTCAATCATGATTTTTTTTTTCAAAATTTTTAATCTCATTTCGTCTATCCAAGGGCTACGTACTTATATAATCCGCAATAGAGGCTAAACGGAATACGTTAAAAGGCTAATGACTTCGACAGAGTCGATAGTCTCAAAAAATCTTTTTTCTTCATCATTTCGCATCTACGAGATTATCGCATTGCTCTTATAATTTTGTATTAATTATTTAATTATGTTTATTCACCTTTCACGGTTTTCAAGTTCAATCGTTACTGGGGCGGCTGTTTTTATGTTCCGTACATTACGAAAATTTAATTAACATTGAAATTTAATTAAAAAATAACACATTGACGTGGTGATAAGAGGCTATTTTTCCCCCCATCAACGTCTAGTTTGAAATTTTTGTCTATTTGATTCACGTTTTCAAAATTTCATTTATCTCATACACCTTATCATTCGTCAAAATTTCCATCAGCCTCGTTAATACATTTTTAACATATTTTTATATTTTACGCGATTAGAGTTCCACGCATTGATCCCACCATATGCGACTCTCTTATCAACTTATTGCTTTCCGATAAAATCGTTTCCAAATTCGTAGCACGTTCGAGATTTTTTGTTCACGAAAATTTTCCTGGTGCCCCCTCTTTCTTTTTTTTATCATACTTTTTTTTTATCAAACACGAAAATTTTCATAATCAATACTCTCTGTATTGCTTATCCTACTCTTAATCAAAATTGTCCAATTTTTTTTTTTACATTTCTTCTCAGTGATGTCAACGCGCTAGAAATTTTTGTTTTAATGAAAATAAATAATTTCAGGAAAAAACATATACGGCCGCAATTCCGATATCAGATTCAATGATGAAATAATAAAAAAAGTGGCGTTGATTCGAATCTTTGGAAGTTCTGGAGGTTGCTCGAGCTCTTATCACTCGAAATAATATTTCTTTATCATTAAATTCTACTTGACTTGACAGTACAATTTAATCGTAATAATTCATCAACATCCCCAGTCATTCGTTGACGAAAATTTCTAATCTACACACCACGTGTTAACATCGACTTTACATTCTACTGTATGTTTTGTATGTCGTTAGGACAGTCTATATATTAATATATATATGTATATATAATATATTTTATATTTCTTTATGTATTTATATACATATATATATCTATGTACGCTTATAGGTTACGTCTAAAATATTCGTTACTTGTAAATGTCTATATCAAATATAAGTATGGCCAAGTACATGTACAGTATGAGAACAATATATTATAATATCATAATAGTAACCTTAGGTAAGAATGATTGACGCTAATTGAATTAGTTAATTGAGTATTCGAAAAAACTGACTAAATTCGCGAGACTCAACGTAAACTTATATGTGAAAATTGGTTATGTAGAAATAACGTAGAAGACGATAATGGAATATTGCGATATAAATATTGTGAATGACGCGTGTTAAAATTAGTTATAATTAGCAGGGATGTCGAATAATTTTTATTATATCATTTTCTTTTTAATTTGGCCAAAATTTCTTAGCTCCTCAGATTTTGATACTTTCATTAATCCGCTCAGAGATCGTTCTGTTGGGAAAATTTATGTGATTTATTTAGAAATTTTTTTTTTGGATACGTAAAAGACATTTTTTTTTGTAATGGAGGAATATACATTTTTTTTTCGATATTGTGCTTTTTTTGAGTATTCATTGATAATCGATGGAAGATGAACGGCGAGGAGAATCGTTTATCGCCATTTTAGCGTTTTTTTCTTCGTTTTCGTTTTTTAAATCTTTAGAATGAAAAATGTTAGTACCGTAATAAGTATGGCGATTACGGTGAGCGAGCGATACTCCCGATAAAAGTTTTTCAGTAGAAAAAAAAGGCAAACCGAGGCGCAGAATAGTAATTAGGCGAAAGCGTACCAGCACGCCTAACGACATTAGGATGAAAAATTATCTTTGGCCTGGACCAGCCAGGAGAAAAAAAATGGTTTATCGTAATTTCATTGCTTGGTGTAGATATTCTCATTTCTCGTTTGGAATAAATTTCGAATTTTTTTTCCGGACTTTTTTAAATTTCGCAAAAAGACTTTTGCGTTCCTTAGGAGTTATCTTAGGCAGGTCTATAGCACTTGGTTGAAGTTATAATTGAAAATTGAAAATTCGCGTACGAAATGGAAATCCTTATGGCCGTATAATAATAATAATAATACATATATATATTTATATGACGTAATATTTTCTCATATCATTTTCATACCAAAGTTTTCGCAATCTTACATGAGCTTTCGTTATCCGACCAGAAGTAAAGAAAAAAAACTTTGATAATATCTCGAAATCGCGAATTTCCCAAAAATCGGCTAATAGAAATCGTCATTAAATCGAAAAGACGCAAATAGACGATATAATTGTTATTCGCTAAATAAATTGCGATCTTCACGGGTCTGACAGTCACGACTGACCTTGGAAGAAAATGACAAAATTATTTTGCCAAAAGAAAGAGAGCAATCTCATTTTCAAAAATTGCTTTTTCCCAGACTCGTGGTACCTTCTTATCAACGATATCCGCGAATACCACAAATGGGCATTTTTGTGATTAATTGATTATAATCCCACAGGCAATGATAACGCGTTTACATGACACTGCAAAAGGAGATGCCATTGTCGAAGACTGATTGGATCACTGTGGTCTCCATGCAGAATGCACTGTCCTCGTACATGGTCGTGATTCTCTGCTGCTGGGCGCGACTTTCACTTTGGGATCTGGAAAACGTCAGCCATTTCAGGTGAGTCAAGGTAATACATGAGGGAAATTATACAAGGGTGGTAATGAGTAATTTGATTGGATTGGCTAGGGGGTTGGCATCCCTTTGAGATTCATATTGTATCTTGCAGGTTGTGTAAGGAGGGTCTCTGAATTATTTGGTCCTGGAAGCTGGAAATGACTTCAGGATCTGGACTATGTCAAATTGACTCACCTGACAGGTGGCGCACGTGGTCGTTGCGTCCTGGCCGCTTGCTTCCTGAGGGCTTGCTGATTTGACAGGCAGGTCGTGTCTCTCAGGACCCCTTGTTGTGGTTGTTGCTGTTGTTGCTGGTGAGGGGGTTGATTATTAATATGCTGCGCCCGCTGCCTTAAGTGGGTCAGAAATTCACGTAGCTCAGGTTGACTCGCCAGGAGGTCCCTGCGTGTCTGCTGGATGCTTGGAGTCGAATCTGACCAGGGTGGTGGTGGAGTGTGTGATCGTGTTATCACTGCATATTTGTGACACAGGTATTCCTCGTAGGACGGTGGTAGACCTGACTGTAACAGGTTAGCAGAAGCTTGGGGTTGAAGGATGAAACTTTTTTTGACCCAGGTCAAGGATGATATAATTTTAATGTGAGATCTAATTTTTCATGATTGATTTCATTGATTGATCACTCGCGAAATTCATCTGTACTATTAAGTGTGGGATGGTCTTATATGCTATACAGGTACAGTAGAACGTGATCTCGTATTGATGTTTACCACGCGGTGAAATGGGATTTCACGTGCTTTTTATGAAATTTTAAAGATAATTCTCTGGAGTAGGAAAAATATTAGTTTCATAGTTCAACATCAGCGCACGACCCCGTACGTGTTCCTGATAAATTTTAAGTTTAAATTTCGTCCCTACGTGATCTTGGAGTTTGCTCGCTCGTGAACTCTGACACTTAATACACAATTTTTCAAGGGTCTCGTAATCAGGATTCGACCCACTGTATTAATAATTCAAGAGTAGGAAACATAAATGATAAAGTAAAAAGTGACAAGCAGGGACAAAAATAGTGAAACTGTAAGAGATTTCTGATGAATAAATAATATCGTATGTCAACTTTAAGAGCTGTCAAGTTTAAGATACGACTGGAAAGGATCTAAAAGCAATTTCGTAATATCCCTAATGTTCTGTTCTTGTCTCTTGTAAATCTATACTAACATTCGGTTTTATCCATTTTCTCATTCTGGAACGATTTTGCCTGTAGAACCTAACTTATTCACAAGTTGGATAGCTGACAGCTATTAAGGATCAGAGATAAAAGAAAAAAGAAAAAGCAATCAGAGAGAGGGAGGTGGAAAAAAATTAATTCGAAAATTCATCCAATCACATTCGTTAATTGATTTCTAACCAGGAGTATAAATATATTCTTTTCAGTAACTATGGCTCTGAGTTCGCTGAAATTACATCAGAACATATATATATATATATATACATATAATATGATTTAAGAAACGCCAAACCTCATAGCCAGCTACAAGGGAATTGTCTATTGATCGATACGAATCGAATTCAACACGATCGAACGATCGTTGTTCATTCTCCCATACATATATATAAGACGATATAAAGACCTAAATAAAACCAAGAACAACTGAAAAGAATCCTTCGCGTTAGTGATGCGACATTTGCTGGGACGTGGAAAAGGAAAACTTGGCTCGATTCAATTTCACGAGATGATTCCCTTATTTTATTTTACTTAGTTCTATGGGAGTCTGGTGCCATCATTTTTCTCTCTCCCCCACCTCTCTCTCTCTCTCTCTCTCTCTCTCTCTCTCTCTCTCTCTCTCTCTCTCTCTCTCTCTTTGTCTCTCTCCAGAACGCCAAAGAATTTCTGAACGGACCTGTACCTTACGCACCCTTTCTGTTACCTCCTGTTTATCCACACCCACTGCTCACCATGGACTTTGAATTGCATTTTTTGATCACCCCTTAACTGGAATATCATAAATAACGGAGTCTCTCATTGTCGCGTCTCAATGATTTATTTGGATCATTTTCAATAACCTACAAGGATCTTTGAGATTGAAAAAGAATCCGAATTGAAACAGGTATATTTACCTATAGTATATATATGTATATAGACTCAATGAAATTTAGCAATCCCATTTACACGACTTTCATTAAATATATATAGGTATATACTAAATAATTAAATTAATGGAAATGTCGAAAAAATAGAGGCTGTCAGAAAAAAAAGAATTTTATATCCTTTCATTCCGAAATCCCAATACCGGCAATGAATCACGAGGTTTCGAAATTTCGTGAAATACGTTTCCTCAATTGTGCAATGGTTAGGGGTCGATTCCACCCCTTCGATCCTTCCTCGGCCACGACCCTCATCCTTCGCTCCTCGCCTGAAAGTCACATTATGTAAAGCGTATACTACTATTGGGTCCAACCTCCTACGGGCTTGTCTGGGTCACATTTGAATTTCCAAAACCGCCCCTAGTCGCCCTGGGACAAGGGCTGCTAAGGCTATTGAATAAATCTACAGTCGGAGTCACGGGGGTCTCTTTTATTTGGGCTTGAGAATCGCCGAATCAGCCAGCGCATAACTTGCCAACCACTTGGTGCCGCACTGAATTTTCCAAATTGAATTGCGCCCTTTCGGGGTTTTTTTTTTTCCTTTTTTCTTTCCATTTTATTTCCCGTACTGTTTTCCTTTTTTCGTTTCCCTTATTTTAGCTATTCAACAGTTCGCGTACTTATTTACATATTGTACGTAATTCATATACGTACGGTATATTACATGCGAAAGTACCTGAACAAAGGGATGCCGTGCTCCCCCTGGAGGGGGATGAATTCATAAATGAAATTAATTTTGATTTTATGAAGAAAATTCAAAACTTCTTAATCACGATCCGACTCAGGTATGTTAATTAGTGGGTATAGATAATTAGCAGAAGCCGATCGGGTTGCTTGTTTCTCATTAATTAAACAATGCTTCGATTATTATGGTGATTTATGTTAATGATAGAATTTCAGATTGTTGACATACGTGGGACCTATTATTATTATTGTTATTGAAAGTTATGCTATGTTAATTAATGAAAATGTTAGGATCTATATTGAAAGTGGGATATACAGGGTGTTCGGACTGTTACTAGCCAGCATTATTTTTGTAAATAGAATATATTAGAAAAAAATGATAGAGGAAAAAGTAGTACCGCTTTTTTATGCGCAACACAATGACATATGCATTTTTGTTTTATTTACATTATTTTGATAGAAACGAAGGTGACCTTCAATTTTTTTAAATGGAATGCTATACATTTTTTTATGTCGTACGAAAGCGTTTGTCAAGACGAATTCATCCGTCTGCTACACGATGACCTTCAAGGTCATGCAAGGTCAGAAATGGAAGAAACAAATTGAATATTGCTTACCAATGTCTTTACAAGTATTCCTTATTGATAAAAATCGAAAGATGTTGTCATTCACTGTCAATACGCAATTTATAGATTATTGGGAAGATCTGCCACTATCCATTACGCAAGGTATGTACTTCCAACAAGATGGGGCCCCACCACATAACAGTAGAATCGTAAGAAATTATCTTGACGACATATTTCAAAATCGATGGATTGGTACATACGGACCTGCCAAGTGGCCTGCAAGATCTCCAGATCTATCACCTCTGGACTTTTATTTATGGGGTACTATTAAAGAACTAGTTTACGAGACACAGCCCAGTGATATAAACGACTTGAAAACCAAAATAACACAAGCATGTGGATTAATAGCTGGGACCACATTAGAAGAAGCTATTAAAAACGTAATTAACAGAGCCGAAATGTGCATTCGTGCGCAAGGAAGCCACTTTGAACATTTGCTGTAGCCTCATTAATAAAGAATACTTGTAAAGACATTGGTAAGCAATATTCAAATTGTTTCTTCCATTTTTGACCTTGCATGACCTTGCATGACCTTGAAGGTCATCGCGTAGCAGATGGATGAATTCGTCCTGACACACGCTTTCATACGACATAAAAAAATGTATAGGATTCGATTTAAAAAAAATTGAAGGTCACCTTCATTTCTATCAAAATAATGTAAATTAAAGAAAAATGCATATGTCATTGTGTTGCGCATAAAAAGCAGTACTACTTTTTCCTCTATCATTTTTTTCTAATATATTCCATTTACAAAAATAATGCTGGCTAGAAATAGTCTGAACTCCCTGTATATACGCATTCTTTGAACGTGGACGAAAAATTTTGCTAATTTACGCGAATATTTTGATTTCCAGAATTTCGTCGAGTAATGCGAATTTCTTTTTTTTTTTTCATTCTTCTTTCCGGTTCACCCTATTGAAAGAGAATTTTGTACGGTGAATTTTTGTGCTACGGTGAAATATTAAAGTGGTCGTTATTTAAATTAAGCGATGCGTTTCATCGATGGAAACAAGCAGCAAAGTCTTTTTGCAATAGCGTGATAAGGACGTAAGAGCCATACTGCAGGGTAATTGAAAGACTGCGTATTGATACGTACTTGGAGTGAAAGATAAATTTTACGAAATTAGACGCCTTATACGTGCAATTTTGAGAGATTGTGGACCAAAGAAAAAATTACTATTATTCGAAACTGGCAACTTGGGGGTAGTTGAAATTTTTTGACGAAGAAATATTCGATTCAATTCAATTCAAATACATACTGGGTGACCTATAATCATGATATCATGATAATTAATGTTACCAGTTCATTTGCTATTTTGAATTTATTTGCTTTTTTTTTTCATTCTCCTCGGCCCAGTGCACACGATTGGAGGCCATTGCAAATTATTTTTTATACGTTCTCGTTTCTTTTTAAAGCAGCGGTAACCTTTGACACGATACCATTTTGATCTAATCAAGCATGAATTTTGGGAGCCTGTCATAGGCTTTAAATAGAGGGTGAATAATCTGTCGGATTTCCTTCATTTATCTGCCTTTTTTGGGGATTTATCGCAAATCGCCTATACAGGAATTCGCGCGTGTAGACAAAAATTGACGTAATAACCGCAGTGGACACGAGGGCATTTTTCAGGCTCGTAAAAAAAAAAGAGAAGAAAAATTGTCTATGTAAATTGGTCTGAATTTTTGGTGTGAATGAGTGAAAATGAAAAGCGATATATGTATATATACATATATAAGTACATACATAAGTTTGGTCATATTATAGAACGTAGCTATTTAAAGATTTTACAATAATTTACGTAAAAACAGTTTAGAATAACCTAATTCAAATTTTCCAAAAAATGGTATGATGAACATCGCATTTATTTAAAGTCTATAATTTTCGAAAAACTATTAAAAAAAAACAAATTTTACGACAGCCATTAAATTACCAAATTTTTTAAATTCAATGTAAATAACCCATTTCGACGCATGGCGTCGCGACGTTAAGACATAAAGTAGAACGAAAGAAAAGCGCCTGGAAAAAAAAAACAAAAACAAAAATTCTATTCGAACACTTTTTCCTACACGCGCAAACATTCAGCGGCTGTTTCTATGAGACGTTAGCTATAGGTATACAGCCCCAACAGGAATTGGAATTGGGAATAGTTGCGCGGGAGCTGATTCCAGAGAATTTATGTGCGTCCCGGCGCCGACAAACTGTGGAGACGTCGGAATATGAGAATACTTCCCTTTGAGTTAGCCACTAGCTTCCACTGTCTCCTCTAATACGGATCTACGTCACTTTACGTAATACTCCGGATGTGTCCCAGATAGCCGGATCGAGAAAATGGGAAAAAAGTTTTTTAACGAAAAAAAAATTTCACGCTCGCTCAAATAATAATAAATCCCGAAAACTTTGTCCAACTACCAATTATTCCTATCAGTACGATTATTACCCTCAATAAACAATTTCCTTCATATATGCATATTAATAAAATTTATTATTAATACTGACAGTAGGACAAAAAAAATGCATACAAACAATCAGTGCATCGTTCACGCACCTGCCACATTGCTACGTCATACGTCGGAGGCGGTGACGTCATCGACGGAATTTTGTAAACCGGTTGAGGTCGATTCTGTCCATTGACCTGGCTGCTACTCATCCCATTGACATTTCTGTTAGGCGATTCTTGAACGGTTGAGTATACAGCTTCCGGTATAGTATTTTCCCGTATACCGTTGCCCGATACCACGCTCGAGCCGGAGTCTGTAAAAAATGATAAAAATTCACACCGGAAGTCGATTATAAGAATTGTGATAAAATCGTCATATCAATTATTGTTACAAGCTCGTATGGTCTTACCTATGTATGTGTAATGGGAATCCGACCTCTCGGCACTTCGCGTTCTTCTAGATGAGTTCAGCCGCTTCTTTTGTTTACTCGTGTGCTTTCCAGGCTGTCTTTGCTCCGTGACGGAACTGGTACTTCCGGTATCCGGTGTTTGTGGCTTCGGCGCTTCTTCCTCCTCCGTTTGTTTTTTGCCGCCGCGCACTTCCGACTTCGACTGCTTCGACGTCTTCGGTATCAAGATCGTAAGATTTTTCGTGGAAATAGCCGTCATGCCGTTTCGCGATTTCGGCAAATCCAAAACCACTCCGCATCCGCAGATCGGAGCGCTTTCATTAGGCATCCTGTAATCAGATAACAAGCAAGGATGGGAGCACGTTATTTTACATTAATTAAATCCATGATGACGGTTCGTATAGTTTGGTACCTGTAAGGCGTGAGTGTTAATTTTAAAATTATTTAACCTAATTTACCCGCCTATTAATATGAAGATTCGGATAATGAATTTTAATGTAAATCATTTGGTTAGGTCTTTGATAACGGTGAACCTTGAGATCTAATTTCCCTGTGTCATTACAAAGTATTAAGAAGGCAAATTTCTATTAGGGCGACTGACTGTGTAATCGAATATACAGACAGCTCGAAGGGGTCGTTTTCTTCTTCGCTTATGAGGGTTAGGAAAATTCGTTGACTTTTCGCTAAGTGGATATTAATGCTTTCGTCTTACGTTTAACTCGAGCATTTTGAGTGTTGCTGGTGCTCTTAATTCATTTTGTATGCTGGGAAGTATAGTGTATATATATATATATCTTTTCTTAATACACTGTGCTTCCAATATGCAGTTTAGAAAAAGCGCAATCTGCTGACGACTCGTGATAAGAAAAGATTAATAACAAAGACGACGTGGCCAGTAGGTCAGACAAATATACAGACGCAAAGAGGTAAGGCGAAGGACAAATGCGAATAGTGGAAGTTTCAAAATTCGTCGCAGGATGGCAGTGCTTGCCGATCAGTACTCGAGGGGGAGGGAGCACTGATTGGTACGCGGAAGGATGTGTAAGTGCGAAGCTTCAGTCTTCCGAGAGCCGATTTCCTATATCGATCTCTAGTACGCCGCGTACTTTCCTTCTTCCTTCCTTCTTCCTCTCTCTCTGTATCTCTGACTTGTCATTCATTGATGATTCTTCATCCTCTTCTCGTCTGTCTGCTGAGGTATATTCACTTGATTATTTACTTTTCTCTCTCTCTGTGTTACCTGTCTTCCCCCTTTCTCCCGCTGGGCTATACCTCCTTCGCGATATCACCTTGTTGTCACAGCCAACTCCGCAGTAAATACGCCAAGACGGTTTGAGCAGTGGGGAGTCACGGGTTGGCGTCGGCATCCCTTACTGCGCTCTCCAGGGCTCCTCTAGGTTCACGTCAATCTGCGTTCGCACGTGCTACTCCACTTGGCCTACGGGTGCCACTTTCCAGTCACCTGGCAACTTCTAATCACCCTCCGACGGGAAGACTTTGCGCGCTGATCGACGGTTAGCGGGACTCGTCTTCGGAGGCGAACGGTGCTTCCTGACGTCTAACCTGCCCTGGCCGAAGACTTGCGGCGGGCAGTGACGGAGGTTGTGAGCGTGAATTCAAGATCCCCTGAGGATCTTCCGACTTCGGTCGGCTGCTGCTGTCAGTCTCATCCTTCGCGGCCCTCTCGCCCTTGTATTAACGTTGGGCCCGATTTCGTGTATTTCGCACCCTAAACTGCTTAATCCGGTCCTCTGCATTTACTTTATCTTCACTGTGATCTCTGTAACTATTCCGTATTATCACTATCGTCATCATCATCATCCTTAATATTTTTTGCTTGGAGCCTTCCATCCATTTCGCCCTATCCCCTAAACGCTTCAACCTTTACCCCCATTTCCAAAAAAAAACCGTAATTCAGTAACCCAGTCCGCATCACGATCGTTCTTTACCGCGTGCAAAAATCCGCGTACCGACCTAGTCCCGATAAGCAAACAAGTTCTCCATATCCGAAAATCCGCGTAATGCAAAAATAATCGCCCCAGTAATCAATTCATCTCACGAACTGATTTCAGCCGTCGAATCACGTCCTGGACCCGCAATGACGTAAAATTGAGAATAAGACAAGGACCAGACGCAGCATCCAGGACGAAGATCCAGTGGTAAGTGACCTTTTTTTTTCTCTCTTTTTCCTCCACTCGTGGTAGACGTCCGTATAAGCGGCCATCCCGAAACTCTTGAAAAGAGTCGAAGGGGGCCGGAAGGAAGGGAGGGTAGGCTGGGAAGAGGCCCGAGACTGCTGCCCGATATTTCATCCCGGGAACTAGCCGAGATAAAAAGTGGAAGGCACGCCCACCCCTTCCGTCCTCGCGCGCAGCTTCCTTCCTGGGATACGGCGACGCTGGGCTTGTATACCGTATATCACTATATATTCAGATACATAAGGAGCGACGAGTACACTTAATTTCTTTAACCATCTTGAACCCCTAGTGTACCCGGGGTAAATACAATTGAAATTTCGTGAAATAGAACAGCGAGGGGGTTTAATGAAATTTCTTGGAGTGGATTCTGACAAGTAAAATAAAAAATTGGGATTTTGTCAATTTTGCGAATGAAATAAATATTATACGACCTAAAAGGGCTGGCTTTTAATCATCGAACAGAAATAACTCGCTGTTGATACTGGATTTCTGGGCGACGGCTTGAACGACCTGGTGGCGCGTATAGTCGAAATGATTTTACCAGTAAAACGGGGGGGGTCCTATTTCAAATCCTATGTGAAACCCGATACGATTTCCAGAACCCATGAAAATCTAAGGCGAAACACGAGTGGAATTACGACATGGAAATAGAATTACGTGCTCTGTTGCGAATTGAACGCTCCCAGGTATCTACCCCTGTTACCTGCACGCGGACTCTTCACGACAAAGTTCTCATATTCTATCCCCATTATTCATCTCCTTCGACCCAGATCTCCCGTAGGGAACAGCCACTCTCGAATCTCATTCGCGTGAAATCAGCCGTGCGCTATTCCAATTGCTGGTCTAATGAAATTTTCGCAGGCCCCGAATGGGCACCCTGTTAATTGGAGTCTGACAAGTAGCACGTGCCGTTGAAAAAAATTTTTTTTTTAACCATTGCGAAAGACCCTTTGGGAATTTACGCGGACTTTGTGTAGAGAATAAAAAATTGTGTTGATTTTTTGCATTGAGATTTTTTAATTTTTCCAACCTGAATAATCATAATAAAGTGACACTTTTTTTTTTATCCAATTAGAAATACATTTTTTGTATCGTACTCAAAGTCAATTAAGACGACCGGGTATCCTTTCATTTTTACGAAAAATGCCTTGATCCGATCTTACGTTAAAAAGTCCTTATACGCGCAATCCCTATTTTTGTGTAAATCCGAAAGTAAAAAATCCTACTTTGATCCCTGATCCGTCGAATGTTCATCCCCTATGGAATGGAAAGTTAGAAGGGTGAACCAATATATTCCTACCTCGTAGTACGAACGGTTAAATCAAATATTAGTTTATCAAACAATGAGCTCTCGGATGATAACGAACTGAAACTGACGAGGATAATTGTAATAGAAATTTTCATTAAAATTATATCAAGATCTGCGTGAACAATGGAAAGACAGAATTTCGTGAACACGTTAAATTCAATATAAATGACGTGTCTAATGACGCCGTTGGAAACGAATGACAATGAACGATAAAACAATTGCCTCAATGGTACCAACATCCCTCTGAATAATAACCGCGATACAATAAACAGCCAAAAGTCGGGTAAGGGGCGTCGGCGGAGGGGGGCTGTTCGAAAGGGATTATTTGAGGAATCCAGAGTGAGGTATAAAGTTAGTCGAGCCTCAGTGGGACATTATATGATTAATCTGACAATTGTACGAAGAGGGTACGGGGCGCAGACGGTGGCGGGGCTGACGGGAAGTTTACGAAAGTTTTAAATGAAATATAATTTAGCCAACGTTATTCCTTCATAATTACTCTTCGATGTGATTGCTTTTGCCAATCTGAGATGAACGGCAGAATTGTGGGTAGGAAGACGTACAAATGTAGGAGGATTACGTTGAAATATAACTGTGTATTATGCAGTATAGTGACGTATATATATATATATATATTAAATACATTGAAATATGTAGGGGTGATACTAAAAATTCTGGCATTAGGCCACTGTTTGGAAATTAATTTTGGCAATTAGCCCATCCCCACGGGGGATGAAGTTTCACCGGAGATTCGGGCTCGTCTCGATATATCATATTTCGGGTTGGATCGGTCGGTATACAACGCAGTCCATAGATTTCTACTATACCGACCGAGAGAATGAGATGTACATGAAATTGCCGATTGACTACGGCGTTCAACTGCCGGTGGTTTAACCCGGTGCCGGATTCTCGAATCAGATAATAATGGTATACGGAGAGAAAGGTAAAACTGGTACCGATCTTCGTGAGAGGGCGAATGGAAGATAATGGCGGAATAATTTAAATGTACTCCGGTGGTATCCTTCGGGTTTATCAGTAGGCGTGTAATGAATGCGGATAATACGTTTAGACGTTTTATATATTTTTTATTTTTTCGGGAGAATTTGGAGACCCGTGGTTAATTATAACGTTAAACAATGGCTGGAACTAAAATTACGGTTATAATTCAAAAGAGGGTAAAAGTACCTTTTCGGTTAAGCAGACAATTGCTACGGGCTAATCTACGTTCATTTCTCGCGATCCTGGACGACTATTAATTTTCGTATTATTTTATAGCCTCGGATTATCAGATGAGTTTGGACAAATTTCTTTTTGGTCCGATCAATATCGTCGGGAAATTTTAACCTAACCTAACCTACGTCACATGGTACATATCGATCGCACAATTATTGGCTGATTTAAGTTTTCAATGATTTTACTATGAAATATTATCCCAACAGCTCCTTATTCGACTATCAAGAATTTATAGCATGACGTCACCTCCGTTCCGACGCGATATCCGGTCTGTTGCTGATATCCATTGCTCGCAGACTTTATAGGGGCTATAATACTAGAATTACGTTTCGCTTTAACAACCGCAATATGCTCGGTCGCATGCGTTTACTGCTGTTCGAGGGGGTGGTTGGGGCGAGAGGGGGGAGAATACCACTATGAGTTTTCACAGGACGGTAAACGGCCGGTGGTAAATGTCACGAAGCACATTTTTCAGTGGACCAGTCAACGGGGTGGTAACGGTTGAAGGGATGCTGAAATTCTTTCTCGCAGGGGTGTCTTCATCTCTTCAAAGCTTACTCCCGAGGATGACGATTTTCGGGGGGGGGGA